GTATAAAGAGTCAGCTGAAAGCTGCTGTAGTTTCTCTCACATGTAGCTTTTTCAGTTGTTGCAGAGAACGAGTGAGTAACAGACAGAGCTACGGGTCCTTTTTAATACCTTCTGTCCTGCTGTCCGTGGGTAGTGAAGATGCTAGGAAGGAAACAAACAAAAAGACGCCACCCCCCCCCAAAAAAACCACCAAAAATCCAAAAAACCCTGCACATGCACTGTGTGCACAATTTTGAGGGTAAAGCTTAAATTCTGGCCTAAAAGCAGCAAGGATACCTAAGAATTTGTTGCTTTTTTAAAAAGGGGAACTGGGCTGCCACTATCTTCCAAACCTCTTGCTCGGTGTGGTTCCTCTCTCTCCCATAGCAAGCTTTTCTGAGCCCGGAGTCTATCGGTTTCAAAGACACGTGAAAAGCTATGAAGAAAACCCAAGGGAAGGAAACCTCGGGAGCTGGGGCCCGAGAACACAGGGCCGGGCATCTGCTCTCCGCCCACGGTTGGGGCTGTTTAAATGGTCTCTTGACGGGTCACCACGGGGCCACCCAATCCCATCCTGGTCTTGTTGAGTTCTCATTGGCCTAGGGAATAGACCTAACGGGTGAGTGCAAAGGCCACCTCCATACATGTACGGTTTTGGGGAACACAGCAGTGCTCTGCTCTCGCCTAGTAAGCGGGTGGCTGCCCGCATAGCCTTTTGAGAACTGTCGCCAAGTAAAGCTCAGCCACGGAGGGAATGCTTGACAGAGAGAGTCGGCTTCTAAGTTTTCCCTGGGCTCTTGACACTCTGACGGGGCCTTGGGCTGCCGCTCAGCTGTCTTCTCCACAGCCCTGTCCCCTCGGTTCCTCACTCATCTGTGAGCCACCTTGCTGGGTCTCAGCCTCCCATTATTTCCTACTGATTCAAATACGAATTCATGCTTTATGTGCTTTCACATGGCTCCCTTGGATGCTTGTAACTATTCTGAGGGAAATGAGACCCGTACTAGTCGTGCCATTCAATGTTAAAACTCAGAATAAGGCTCGGTGAGTCAGACCACAGGGCCCCCGGGGTCCCACAGCTGGGGCTTGGGCGACTCCCCCTCCCACCAGGAGCAGTTGGGGGTGGGACCCCTTTCTCCCTTCCTTCAATCCTCCCCAACACTTGGTTTCGTTCTGGAAATATAAAAGATCCTCAAGGGATCTTTTCCAGCAGGAGCCAAGGACATCCAGAAATGAAGTCACGGCTTCCGCCCTCGCCACCTCTGAGGGCCGTCCCCTCTCGTTCTGCCCCCACTACCTCCTAATATCTGGCATAAGAACCTGGTGAAAAATCTGCACTTGGCATTTCTGGGTATGCCCCTCACCCCTTCTGAATGGCTGTGTGGCCTTGGGCGGGTCATTTCAAGGAAGACTCTGTATTCTCAACGGAGGGTACTACCTACTCCTTAAGACTGACTTGGACAGAAGTGCCTGGGACAGAAGTACTCAATAAATAGTACAATATCTTTCTTCTGAGTGTCTGGAGGAGGTGGGGTGGGGGGTGGTGAGGTGGGTAGGTGAGCAAAGGACATTCAAAACGATTACAACTGTTCACTAAACGTGTATAAGCATCATCACAAACTGAACAGGAAAAGTCATGTAATTTTAAAGGAACGTGGAGCGCACAAAGATTTTTGTAGAAAGATTTATTCTATTATTTAAAATGGCAAAAACAAACAAACAAACAAACAAAAAAACCCAACCCAAACCCAAACCATGAACTCAAATGTTAAGATCATTAAGAAGGGAAAACTGTTAAATAAACCATGGCATAGCCATGTGGTAAAGTGTCAGGCACTCATTAGAAAATTGTATCTTGAAAAATCATGCATTCTCAAAGGGGGGAAACTGTTTCTTGGGGGTGTGAAAAAAACTTAGATATTACAATGATTTGTGGCCTCCAAAGGCATAGTTCATTATATATGTGTGTGTGATGTGTGTGTGTGTGTCTATCTATCTGCAGTATTAAATTTTCTTTTTTTTTTTTTTTTAATTTTTTTTTTTCAACGTTTATTTATTTTTGGGACAGAGAGAGACAGAGCATGAACGGGGGAGGGGCAGAGAGAGAGGGAGACACAGAATCGGAAACAGGCTCCAGGCTCCGAGCCATCAGCTCAGAGCCTGACGCGGGGCTCGAAACTCACGGACCGCGAGATCGTGACCTGGCTGAAGTCGGACGCTTAACCGACTGCGCCACCCAGGCGCCCCTGCAGTATTAAATTTTCATGGAGGGATGGGGGTGGAGTGATTAGGGCAAAAGTGTCTAAAAAGATCCCTTAGGGATGCCAATGGGAAAAAGGTTGGGAAACATTGGATTAAGGATATATGGAGATGCTCATAATATATATTGGGTTATAAAATATGGACAGTCCCAAATAGTCTAAGATACATTTCTTTTTTTTTTTTTTTTTTAAGTTTATTTAAGTAATCTCTACACCCAACATGGAGCTCGAAGTCATGACGCCGAGATCCAGAGATGCACGCTCTTCCAACAGAGCCAGCCAGGTGCCTCTAAAATGCATTCTAAGCTGGTAACTGAAATGATTTCTGGCTGGTGGTATTACAGGGGTTTATGTTCTTCCACATACTTTAAAAAAAAACAGGTTTTACATTTTCTACAGCTTTTCATAATTTTAGAATTACACAAAATTATTTTTTAAAATTGCATTTTTGTATTTAATGAGTGGATTTTACACAGGAGTACGTAAAACTACTTTCTCTTCAGGCATTCTCTAATAAAAGGTCCAGGAATAAAAAGGTGGGACTACCTTTTTCTGTAGTTATCAGCCTCAAGATGTACAAGTGTGAAGGATCACAAGAGATCAAGGAGGAGCCTGACGACATTCTGACGTGGCTTTCCGTCCGTTCCCGCTACTAGAGAGAGCGATCCACCTCGAAGGGGAAATGTGCCGTGTGCCCTTCGCGCGGGCCTCGTGTGCTCGGTGGGTGACAGACTTCAGCATTTTGATTCAGACCCCGAAGTCAAAGAAAGAATCCAATTTCGAGGGCTTCTTCAAAAACAAAACCCCTGTGACAGAGGGTGTCCGTAGCCTTTTACTTCGCTAAGGGTTTCAGCAAGTCCCTTACGTGTATCTCAAGTTCTACCTTCAACCTTGATACATTCACAAAGTCTTAAAACAAAACATACCGGAGCACGAAGCTGGCTGCTATCAAAAACGCGTTGCTTCATTTAATTGAGGCTGCAAACTGTGACTTTCAGAACAGCAAAGACAGGGGTGAGAAAAACCCCTTCCCAAGGCAGTTTCTCTTTCCTTAGAAAACACGCTCACCTTTATAATGTGCCTTTATTACTCAATTTATACAAAAATCAGTAATTCTTTGATAAAGACTACACTGTGAAACAACTTTTTAAAATTTAGAAAAGTTACTTAAAACCTTAGACCTTAATTTTATTAATTTTAAAAAACCCCACCATTTTGGTGCCACGCTAAGAGCTAGAGCTAGAAGAGTGAGGCTTCTCCTCCCTCAACATAAGACAACTATGCATTACACCGTGAGAGCAGCAATTTGACATCAGGCAATCAACGGGGCCAGGGTCACCGTCAGACTGGCTTTCCTGTCACATTAGGGATACTTAGATTTGTGGTAGCATGTGAAGGGGGCACAGTCTTGTGTTCCCAGAGCACACGAGTATCTAAAAAGGATCATACAGGCAAGAACTGTCAATGTCTATGTAAAAGCAAAGCCTCGGCTTAGAACACAAGAGTTCAACCATTTCTTCCCTGCCACCTGACAAGTTCCTCCTACCTTCCCTTAGCACCGCACCCTTCCATATACTCCTAACCGGGACCCTCATGCTGTCCCAGCACACAAGCTGCAAACAGAAAAAGGCAAGACTGATAGTGTCTTTCCTCTGGTTATTAATGTAACGAGCTCCATTAACCTGTTCCTGCCAACAAGTTCAAAGGCTGGATTTGAAGCCTAGAGGGGAAGAGGGCACGGGAAGAGAGGCACGATGGCCGCACTTTGTGAAACCAGGCACCGGACTCTTTACCATATTTAACTTCTGACCTTTTCAGCTGTTGGAGCAAGTTGTTTAGTGAGCATTCAACTGGGCCAGAATCTGAATATGCCAGCAACACCCTGTCCAACCTCTAGTCTTTATTTAAAGCTGAGAAAAACTGAGTAATGACACTAGTCAGAACAATGAAGCTCTGAGAGCCACTACTTTTCAGTAAATCAGATGCCGTGTTAAGAAAACCTATAACGGCTTCTAGCGTAACACATGCTCTATGTTGCCAGACTGTGGCAAAGCAGGAATTCAGTGTAAATCACCTTGAAAATACAGCTTGAATCCCCATACTGAAAGGCCATGACTAACTTTAATACTACAAATTTACCATATGGTAACTTGCAGGCAGGTTACCACTTAAGTGTTTTTACTCACTACTCTAATACTCTATTTACATGGAAATGTATGATATTTTCCCAGTGAATTAAGCAGTTCTCAAACTCACAGGAATTATGCCCACTTGTTTTGTCTTTCGGTCCTACAGCAAGTCACCAAATCTGACATCTGTCTTACTGGACATTTCGCAGCAGCCCTAACCCAAACGGATACCAGACTCCCAATTCTCCTCAGTGCACAACCTCCAGAGCGACAGCAATCTCAGAGACAATCAGTGCAATCCTGTCATGTTCAGAGTTACAGGGACTGAGGCCTAGAAGTGCTTTGTGCAAACAAATAGCAACAACTAGAACAAGAACTCCAGAGCCCTTGATGGAATGAGAAGGGTAGCCAGCAGGGAAATAACAAGTGATGAATCGATGGCAAAAGGAGAAAAGATCTTGTAACTAAAAAACAAAAAACTACAGTCACACGGCTGTTTCCAAATAAAGTACCAAAAATTCAGTAATTCATGTTATAAAACTGTACAAACTTTTAGATATTTAAGGTCTAAGATTTTTCTAAGGACGAGCCTGTACAAATTTTTAGCAGCAGTGACCATTTTCAGAAGAAGTTACACTTGTCCGCGGACATAATATTCATAGTTTGCTTTCAAAACAAACTCAAAGTAAGGATTAGACTTGAGGCTCCCAAGCTGGTCTGCCTGTAGGAGGTCTTTCACTTCTGGCAGGTATTCACTGAGCTGAATGCCTATAAACACAAACACAGAAAGTCCTTTTTTACTTTGATAAAACTCTCAAATGAATTAAGATGATTGATGATAACAGCATCTGTGCTTCTATTTAAAATATAATGTCACTCCACTATTGGGAAATACTCTGTTCTAAATTCCTTCCACGGTCAAACATACTTGCAGGTCTAACAACACGACATGCTTTACTTAGAAGAGGTTGCTTGAGTGTTTTTTCCCCCTAGTGGTCAAAACAGCCAATCTAATTAAAGTCTTTAATAAGACCTGAAATATTTTCATTTTTCTCTACAGTTTAAGTCATTTATTTCTTCAACGTGGGAGTTTTTAACTAACAATCACCTGAGAACAAATATTTCAAAAAATTATATATTCCAACAATTATGTATTCAGGTATTTCAAATATCTTATAGTTACATATTCAAATATTTCGATAGTTATATATATTAAATATGTATCCAATTATATGTATAGGGAAATAATTCAGTAAATGCAATGTCATGAAAGCTAGCTACAGTCTCTCAAAATATATATTATAGTTAAAAGTGAGATAGGTGAAGAACCATTTCATTAGTCCTCTAAAAGCCAGAAAGCCAATGAGCACTGATGAGACAGAACTGCTGAAATCAAGATCTGTGTAGTTACAAAAAGGCATGTACAGTTTTCTCGCTTGATAAAGAAAACTGGAAAAAAAAATTTTTCATATAAGACAGTATTTTATAATCTGTTACATTAGCATAAGGGTCTCAAAATCAAAGGCCCAGCACCGTTTTTTTGTACTTAATTGTAATATAATAAAAATCTGGTTAATGAATGTTATGAGGCTAAATTCAAAATATTTATACATCATTTATTATAATTAAAATACTTTCAATAAAGACTTTTTATCTGTAAAACAGTATTAAACTTGTGAAAATACATTAGTTTCTAAAAGATCAATTCTCTAAAAAAATGTAACATCTTATTTGGCTTCTATTTTTGTGGGGCACGCCCTCTGTTTAGAACTAACATTTGGTGGATTTCTTTTCGTTACAGCTGGGGCCAAAAACTCCGGCAGGTGGTATGAGGAAGGTGGCCTCGGGGATGTTGGTAAACTTAGAGCCAATGCCTCATCCAAAGGGGGCAGTGCTCATCAGATTCAGTTTACTGTTGCCAGATAAATATATCAGTTCAGTTTAGGCAAATAGTTTGATTCTTAAGAGAATTAAGAAAATAAGAATTTTGTGGGGCGCCTGGGTGGCACAGTCGGTTGAGTGTCCGACTTCAGCACAGGTCATGATTTCACAGCTCGTGAGTTCGAGCTCCACGTCAGGCTCTGTGCTGACAGCTCAG